ATAATTGACTTGGGTACAAATAATTGACTTGGGTACAAATAATTGACTTGGGTACAAATAATTGACTTGGGTACATATAATTGACTTGGGTACAAATAATTGACTTGGGTACAAATAATTGACTTGGGTACATATAATTGACTTGGGTACAAATAATTGACTTGGGTACAAATAATTGACTTGGGTACTTATAATTGACTTGGGTACAAATAATACACTTGGTACAAATACTTCATTTGGGTATAAATAATTGACTTGGATATAAATAATTGACTTGGGGTACAAATGATTGACTTGGGTACAAATAATTGACATGGGTACAAATAATTGACTTGGGTACAAATAATTGACTTGGGTACAAATAATTGACTTGTGTACAAATGATTGACTTGGGTACAAATGATTGACTTGGGTACAAATAATTGAACTGGTACAAATAATTGACTTGGGTACAAATAATTGACTTGGGTACAAATAATCGACTTGGGTACAAATAATTGACTTGGGTACAATTNGTTACTTGGGGACATCATCCGTATGTGCCCGATGATAGAAATCATCGAGACGTGTGTGCTTGTATGGGGTCATGATATCGCTCCTACACCTATTTATATCGAAGGAAAATTTGTCGAAGACTCCCAAGGAATCAGTGAAAATGATAACGCTGGAAGTGCTCCCAGCACAGAGCGCAGTATTGACGATATTTTAAGATCTCTTCTCTATGAAGACCGGCTCTTACTTCATTCATTATCATACGAAAAGGAAATTTTTAGACTCCTACGTCAGTGCCAAGAACGATTTACTTCCTTGACAGTGGCGGTGATCGTCGAGAATCGTCGATCTCCCATTGCTATAGCGCAGAAACCCGCCTGTGACCTGAAGTATATCTTAGGAGGTTTACGTGCAATGCTCCCAATGATGAAGTTCATCCAACTGCAAGCCATGATCAGAAAGACAAAGGTATTTTTCAAGTTTACCTGACCATTTATCCGGAGGATGAAAAACGCTATCGCGACGGCAATATGTATCGGTAACACAGAGTGAATATTTGTCGATAACACCTAAGCCTCTAAGGAGTGAGGAAGTGTAATTTCGAACTGCCCGACTTATCTGCGTCTCAAGCCACGCAAACTGCCCGATTTGTCTGCACAGCATAACCGTGCAGACTGCCCCGTAAAACTACGCCCCAGGCCACGCACGACCAACGCTTCAATGTACGCGACGGTGGTCCATGATCTGTCAGGATTACCCAGTGGTTCCTCCTCCCGCCGGAGATAATAAAATGTAAATTTGTCATATCTTTTATTAACTTTGTAAAAACATTAATATTCAAAACTTATTTGAAGTTTCATTTCTCGAGCTGTCCAATAACTAGTACATTAACATGCTTAACTCGACATAAAATTTTTTCAAATAAAAGGTTTATAAAATCAGGCGACGAGTGTCGCTCATCACCATGCATTTTCAGGGAATAAAGATATAGCAGTTAAGTTGACGAAAAGCTCACTGGATGACTGTTGGAAAGACTAAATTGAAGCACAGTAAATGAAAAAGGAATAAACTTCTTGTGTTTCAGAGTGCGGTGAGATCCATTTGATCGGTTTAGGGTTATTATTGCTTCCAATATTTGCAGTGTGTTGAAGCGCAGTTGCGGGAAAGCGTGCAACAAATGAATAATTATACTGAGCAGCCTATCATAAACTCGATTTCACCGGATTAGGAGTGGCGACTTTAAGTGGAAATGAAATGAGAAGGCATTAGGTAGTATTTATGTTTTTGAATACATCAGACATACACGGCTAGACTAACCATACATTGATCTAAGGACGTGACATAAAAAATGGAAGGTTTCTGGAAAAATGAAGAATGCTGCCACCACAGACAAATAATTAATAGAATAGAAGTGACGGCGTTGAAGAAATAGGCCCATGGCCTGTTGCCGATTCTTGAACTTTTCGTGACTTAGGTAAGCGTTATATCACTTGAGAGTCAGTCAGCGATGCATAGAACGACTGCATGAACACCTTTCCACAAGATAGTTGGGAGGTAACTGAGCTGCAGGTCCACTGAGAGCACATTTATAATGCCAGGCCGGAATTAATTCCCATAAAGTTTTGTTAAGGGACTCCACCTCTCTCCTCCCTTCCGGGATCTGTCGAGAACGCATAAATCAACGTACAGAGATGATTCTAGTACCGTTCGATGCGGCAGAAAGTAAGCTTTAAAATGAGCATAAACAGCGGAAAAGTTGAAAATTTTGATTTTTAGGGTAGCCGGTCCTCTTAAGTTCTGGCACTAATGGTTATATCCCCGTAATAATCCCACCCATCTGGTGGCCAAGTATAGGCCTCATAAATTACCAAGGCAAGCTCAACATAGTAGTATTCAAAAATTGAAAGGAAACAACACGTAAACTCGGCACACATTGGACGAAGTTATGCTCAGCAAAATGAAATTATGGAATCATGTTTGCTAATGGGCTGAAAATTAAGAAGGTCTTCAAGTACACGTAAGGAATTCAGAAATAATAAGAACAATGCAATTCATGTGTAACAACTTCGCGACCGCAGCCGCAAAATAAACGACTGCAGATAAACTGTAACTGGCAGAAATTTAGGGTGGACTGACCAGGCAATAGTTTCAAAATAATTAAAAACCGTTAAATATCATTTCAATAACTGACAAAGCACTAGTAATTTACCGTAAAATCCGACCCAGTCAACAGTTAAGTTAAGAATGGAAGAGATCAAAGAACCGCGACGGCTGTTAAGCGACTTGACTCTGGTACCACTGTTACTGTTGCCAAAGCAAGGCCTCAAACCCCAAAGTATTGGAAAAAAACTCCCGGACAATTACAGTGCATCTCTTGACGTAAAATTCTCGTATTCTATTCCGGTTACTCTCTGGCTAATTACGAAATTTAGACTATAAATTAAAGGTTTTATCAGGGGATTTTCTTAAATGGACTTGTTTTCCAATGCGTTACTTTAGTCGAAGTGATGGACAAATTTACGGCCAGATTCGCGGCCAATCTCCAAATTCAGTGACCAAGGAATATATCCCAAACTAATGATCGTAGCTCGATTAAACTTGGTAAACGTATTCACTAGAACCAAACGGTGATGTTTAGTTGGTGATTTTTTTCCATTTCACCTTCATTCATGAGTTATAGAGCAATTCGGGCCGAAATTTCTAGTGATCAAATAATTTCTTCTATACTACTGAACAGATTTGAACGAAACTTTGTATATACAATCCTAACCTCCAAACAGTGACGTTTAGCTCGTGAAAATTTTCTCTATTTTACTTTAGTTTTCGAGTTTTTTAGCGCATTTTCTCATTTATGGACAAAAGGCGCTATTGTGCTCGTCATGTCCGTCCGTTACTCGCTCGTAATGTCCGTCCGTGACTTCACGTTTTCGTCGACGAGAAAATGAGCTCTCTGCCACTCACTGCAGTGCATACTGAGTTATATTTTAGCTGTTTCAACTTGATTCGCGAATTATACAGAAATTCGGGCCGAAATTAGCAGTAACCAAGAAATTTCTTCTAAACTACTGAACAGATTTGAATGAAGCTATAAATGTTCAAACTTAAACTCCCAACAGTGATGTTTAACTCGTGACAATTCTTTCGATTTTGCCTTCGTTTGCGAGTAATACGGATATACGGAGAAACGACCGGAATTTCTGAGGCCGATTTTTAAATTTGCATTGACAAAGAGCCGTACATATATCCGTATAACTCACAAACGAAGGAAAAATCGAAAAAATTGTCACGAGCTGAAAATCACTGTTGGAAGTTTAAGTTTGAACATTTATAGTTTCATTCAAATGTGTTCAGTAGTTTAGAAGAAATATTTTGGCTACTGCAAATTTCGGCCCGAATTGCTCTATAACTCGCGAATCAAGTTGAAACTGCAAAAAAATCGAAAATGAAAGTAAAATCGAAAAAATTATCTCCAGCCAAAAATTACCGATGGAAGGTTATGAATGTATGTATATTCCAAGTTTCGTTCAAATCTGATCAGAAGTTTACAGTAAATTTCTTGGTCACTGCAAATTTCGACCTGAATTGCTCTATTCTTCAAGAATGAAGGCATAATAAAAAAAAATCATTGACTATACATCACTGTTAGGTCTTAATGAATACGTGTAACCAGTTTCATTGAGCTACGTCCATTAGTTTGGGAGATATTCATTGGTCGCTGAATTTGGAAATTGGCCGTGAAACTGGCCGAGAGTCCGGCCGTAAATTGGTCCGACTCTTAAACAGAACTTGGTCGTTCTTCGATTTAAACTCTAAAGTTCGTATCGTGTTAAACTTTAATAATTACAACAATTCCCTTTAACTTCATTTCTTGTTTGTCTGCTACAAATCTTTAAATCGATATTTAACACATTTCTGTCTGTCCAATCGATCTGAAATTTTGCCAGAGGTGGGCAGTAGCGCGCTACATTTTCAGTAGCGGTAGCGGTAGCGGCTCTACATTTAAGGCAATGTAGCGGTAGCGGTAGCGCCCGCTACATATTTAAGTAGCTATACGAGGTTTTGCCGCTACAGCGCTACCGCTACATTTATAGATTAAGCCTTTAGATTTTACTTAAGGGGACCGGCTACCCTGCAACAAAACTTTTTTGTTTACAGACGGATCGTTTTGAAACTTGGTACACAAATGTAAAACAGAAATCTAAGACCTTTTTGTTCATGTAAATTTAAAAAAATGGAAGAAAACATGGAATGAATAGAAAACGGCATATAAGGGGTACACTAAAAAAGTTTATAACTTTTGCAAATTACATGCTACAATGTCGAGACACATATCATTCGATTTGTAACAACAATATCAAGCGACTGTAGAGCCCCAATTTTTTATTTTCTTCATCGTTTTTTTCGCATTCTTCCCATTTTTTTCACATTTTTACCCCCCATCTGCCTCCCTCTCCCATATATAAGTCAAACCATGCACATGTTAAAAAAAAACTTCTAGAGTCGCTAGGTATTGTTTTTACAAACCGAATGGTATGTCTCTCATTGCCGTAGCTTGAAAACTGTTGGAGTTATAATTTTTTAAGATGACTTTTTTGGATTTTTAAATTGTTCAGGGGAGCCAAATAAAGTAAAATTCATTGAAAACAGAAGAATATGCCCAAAAAGTCTTGATATTGCAGCCCAAGCTTTCCCATTGCCAATTATTTGCATTCAAGGTACCAGCACGCGTCTTTAGACGTATTTATGTTCAATTTAACGTGAATAATAGGCTATAAATGGACTTTTTATATATAAATATATATATATATATATAAAATATTAATTTTACATAACTTTACAACTGCATTACGCAAAAACTATTGCATGAACATCCATGGTAGTAGCTTTGTTAAACGCGTCTTGTTTATAGCTTTCAAACGAGTGCAAACACTTTGCAATTAACCTACATAATGACATATAAATACCATTTATTTGTAAATAATGATATAAAATGATCATTTTATAAAAGTTCAAGACTGCATTACACAAAAAAGTATTGCATGCACATCTATGGTAGTAGCTTTGTTGAACGCGTCTCGTTTGTAGCTTTCAAACGAGTGCAAACACTTTGTAGTTAACGAGAGTAATGATCTAGATATACAGATTTAATTCAAATAAATCTTTGTAAATATTGTTAAAAAATGTTCATATATATATTTTTAAAATTGTCTTACGCAAAAATTATAGCACGCACAGACATGCCGCAAACTGCGTTAGACGCGCCTTTTCAGCAGCTACAAAATGAGTCAAGAAAACGGTAAAGCCGAAATTTCCGATTTTTAGGGTAGCCATAGGGTAGCCTTAATAGTATTAAATATTATTTAAAAACCAGCATGATACATACATAATATAAATTACAGAATAAAACTGAACGAAAGATTTCGGTGTAATGTTGTCAACCTCAACCTGTTACTAGTGTCAACATGTTAGTTGTTACTTGTTAAGTTGTTACCAGTTACCACTTACAGTTTTTTTTTCATCTTTCAGTTTGCTTACAGTTATTTTTACACAGTTATTTTTATGTTTCACCTTCCCTAAATGAATGTCTACTTTAATCTACCAATCTCAAAAATAATCCACATATATAATTTCTTAGATTGGTAGATTAAAGTTCACATCCATGTAGGGAAGGTAAAACATAAAATAACTGTAACTTTTATTTACTGTATCTAACCCTGGGGTAACCCATACTAGTTCGGTTAGGTTAATTGCAATAAAGTTGCATTGATATGCTTTAAAAATGCTTTATTATCATCAAATGTTAATGAGTAAATCCCAATAGCAGAACAATAAATAT